GGTTGTCATTTTTGTTTATAAACTACCACGGCAAGTTGCTACTTTGTTAGAGTATAAAAAGGTCACCAAAGAATTCTGACCAAGATCATAGTATCTCCAGAACTTGGAAAGGCTTAAAAAGATGTGAGAAAATCTTTCCCCAGGGAAAGATATTGCTGGTGTACTTGGGGGGGGAGCATTATCTAGGGGCTTACTAACAGTTGTAGAGGTAAAAAAGACCTCTTTGCAAAAAAGTTTTTTTAAAAATATATACTGACAAGACAGCAGGAATTAATACCATGGTAGTTTATTAAAGAATAGGGGGTAAGAACAAGACTGTCACATGTAAAGAGATGTCCTTTAAGGCTTACTTCCACTACTATTAAAACCTCAGTAGTAGGGGCCGGGGATTTAGCTCAGTGGTTCTGCTGCCTGCTTCACAAGCACAAGGACCCGAGTTCGACCCCCGGTATCAAAAAAAAACAAAAACAAAACCTCAGCCATGCTTCTGTTTTCTAGAATTCCTGCAGCTTCAAATCCAGGGAAAGAAGGGAATCCAGATAACCAACACACTGAAACTGAGTGTCCTGAAAATCAAAGAGAAAAAAGGATGCACCAAGAGAATCCCAAACCATAAAAGAGAATCATAATCCCATTTGAAATTCAGGCAACTGGGTAGATATTTTCTTTCCAGACTTAGCAGTATTCCAGCTCTGTAATGGTTCCTACTACCTGCAGAAAAGGAAATGATGGAGAATATCCTGAGAGATCAATATAAGTAGGACAAAGAACACAAGCTCTAAGTAGTTTGTAATAAATTTTAAAAGCCTTCCTAGGATGGGAGTAAAAGAGTGTTGTCATCTGGATAACACAAGAGTCACTGGGGATTAGGCTTACTCTATCTCTGCACTACTGACACTGTAGCTGAATAATTCTTTGTCATGGGAGGCTGTCCTATGCGTCACATGTATTTAGCAGAATCCCTGGCCAACTACCTCCAAATCTACAACAGCACTGCTATCAGTTCTGACTATCAAAACCTGTTTGCAAAGACTGCCAAATGCCCCCTGGGGGCAAAATCACCCCTGCTGAACACCACTGCTTTGAATAAAACAAATAACAAACAGCTGCCAGACTGAACTCACCCTCTTGGTATATAACACTGCTCAGTGGTTCCGCTGCCTGCCTCACAAGCGCAAGGTCCCTAATTTGATCTCCAGTACCAAAAAACAAAACAACAATAACACTTCCAAGCCATCTCACCTCCTGAGCTAGGAAACAGAAAAAATAGGAGGATTTGTAGGAAAAATGACATGTTTCGATTTTGGTTATGTCAAAATGTGAGATACCAAATGGAGATGTCCAAAATGCAGCTGGCTATATGGAACTGGAACTATGAAAAGAGGTCCTGGTTCAAGAAATAGACCAGAAAAGCATTAGCTGCATTAATACTTTTGAGAAAGCCATTTACAAATCTTCAGCCAACATAAAATGATGTTGATTATCCTACACAAGCTCTACCTCGTGCCTAATTAAACAAGAAGCCACTGAAGGATTTAATCTAGTAGAGAGTAATATACTCTTGCACAATGGTTACTTTCATCTGGACAAACTTGCCATATGTTAAGGTCTTCAGAGTAAACTCTCACACATCTTTACTAATTGATATGTTGCAATAATTTTCCCATTTGGCATATGCTCCCTTTTGACTCTGTTCCCAAATCCACTATTCCATATTCTATCTGATCTGAATAGATTATTTGTTCTCTTCTGCTGCAAATATAAAATTAGTAAAAGCTGATGTAATTCGCAAAATTAAGAATTATATGCACATGAGTTTTCCAACATTATCATTAAAGAAATTCTGTACTAAAAGGCTCAGGCTCCAAGCTGATTACTTTTTTTCTGCAACAGAAAGCTCTCTAACCACCTGAATACACCTCAGTTCAACAGCATGTTTTCCTGAAACTCTGTTTTGGATTGACAAAATTTATTTAAATACAATTCTCCAAGAAATTAGAAGATACATTTCTACATATGCATAAGTTCACTTGTGAAAAACTTACTCAAAATGTTCTTATGAAGAGTTGTATTTTATGTAAAATATAGTGGTAAAGAAACAATTTTTCTAACTTAGGACATATAATCTGGTTAACAAAATATAGTCAAAGTAAAATCAATCTGAATAGGGAACAGGAATACTTTACATATATTATATTTAGTTTAAATTGGTTTTCTTGTGTAAAATCTTCTACTGCATATTTTTTAATTTTGTTAACTAACCTATGGGGGGGGGGTTACTGGGGATTGAACTCAGAACCTTGAACTTGCAAGGCAAAGACAGCACCACTGAGCTAAATCCCCAGCCCACCTATATTTTTTAATAAATGAAGTTCAAAGTTTGTTTTAGAATAGTCACTTTTTTTATCAATCAATTCCCAGAATTTTTACCCAGCTCACCTCCATAGTTATATCATACCAACACACTGGCACTCAATCAGTAAGGACAGGTACAAATAAAGGATGGCAAAATTTCCTTTCAGAGATAATTAAATAGTATGGAGAAAAACAGAAATCCATACATATTCCAGAAAGCAAAATTAAGTTTGGCATTTTTCTGATCACAAATCAAATATTAATAAGCAGATTTTTAGAACCTACTTTTCTTTATATAATCCTTATTTTAAAACTACATGTATGTCATTGAATCAAAATATCAATAAACCCTTTTTTAGCACCATCTGCTTGTGGCACCACGCCACCTCTTGCTCCTCCTGCCACCGCAGCTCTGGCTGCCTGACTCCCCGAAATAGCTGCTGATATTTGCAGTTCTTATAACATGGCAGACATTGACAACAAAGAACAGTCTGAACTTTATTAATATTTGGATGATGTTGAAGAAGTAGAAGAAGAAACTGGTAAAGAAACAAAAATCAAAGCATATCAGCTGACTGTTTAGATGATGCAAAATCCTCAGATTCTTGCAGCCCTTCAAGAAAGACTCGATGGTCTGGTAGACACACCAACAGGATACACTAAAAGATTGCCTAGGGTAGTTAAAAGACAAGTGAATGCTCTCAAAACCCTTCACGTTAAATGTGCATAAATAGAAGCCAAATTCTATGAGGAAGTTCACAATCTTGAAAGGAAGTATGTTGTTCTCTACCAACCTGTTTGATAAGTGACTTGAGATGATTAATGCAATTTATGAACTTTGGAAGAAGAATGTGAGTGGAAACCAGATGAGGAAGAAGAAATTTTGGAGGAGCTGAAAGAAAAGGCCAAGATTTAAGATGGGGAAAAAAAGATGAAGAAAAAGAAGATCCTAAAGGAATTCCTGAATTTTGGTTGACTGTTTTTAAGAATGCTGACTTGCTCAGTGACATGGTTCAGGAACGTGATGAACCTATTCTGAAGCACTGGAAGGACATTAAAGCGAAGTTCTCAGATGCTGGCCAGCCTATGAGTTTTATCTTAGAATTTCACTTTGAACCCAATGAATATTTCACAAATGAAGTGCTGACAAAGATGTATAGGATGAGATCTGAACCAGATGATTCTGATGCGTTTTCATTTGATGGACCAGAAATTATGGGCTGTATAGGGTACTAAGCAGATTGGAAAAAAGGAAAGAATGTCACTTTGAAAACCATTAAAAAGAAGCAGAAACGTAAGGGATGTGGGACAGTTCATACTGTGACTAAAACAGTTTCCAATGATTCTTTCTTTAATTTTTTTGCTCCTCCTGAATTTCCTGAGAGTGGAGAACTGCATGATGATGCCAAAGCTATCCTTGCTGCAGACTTTAAAATTGGTCACTTTTTACATCAGCGTATAAGTCTAAGATTGGTGTTGCACAGAGGAGGAGGAGGAGGAGGAGGAGGAGATGATGATGATGATGATGATGATGATGAAGGTGACAAAGCGGATGAGGAAGGGGAAGAAGATGAGGAAAATGTTGCAGACTATGACCCAAAGAAGAAGCAAAACCCAGCAGAGTGCAAGTAGCAGTGAAGCAGGATGTATGTGGTCTTGCGGATAATCTGCACTGTAATAGCCTAAACACAACTATTATTTACTTACAGACTTATGTTTTTGTATTTTCTTGGTAGACTCGGTAATTTTTTTTAAAGGAATTGATATTTTAAAGACCAATTTGTTTAGCTTTTTAAGTATGGCTTTATTGTCAGACACACTGAATGCACAGGTTCTCTGAAGCATGTTCATTCATTGCTGTAATTTGGTTCTTTGCATCATAATTATTGCAGTATAACTATGAAAATTAACATTTTCCTGAAGAACCAAAATAGTTTTCCTGCTAGTAGGTTTAAGTCGGTTGCATAGTTGTGCTTTTCATTTTTTTTGTTACAGAAATGCAGTGACTTATACTAAGACAATTCATCATTTAATGGGAAAAAAAATAAACTTGTGGTTAAGAATTTCCAGGAAGACCAAATCTGATAACTGTTAGCTTATTAATGGATTTTTATATTTTAGGTGATAGTTAATTATAAGGAAGCCTAACTTACATGGTTATGGTTACCACAGGGAAGTGAACAAAACCTAGAATTTTCAGAAGTTAAACTGATAACTATGTTAGTGTACTTCTAAATTTAACATCCATTAACTAAGCATCTTTTCTTTGTGGTAGCATCTACCTTCTGCTTTCCTGGAAAGGATAACTTTACATCATTTGATGACCCTATTTCATGTTTTCTGGTTCTTTGCTTTTGTTTTTGCAGTCTAAAATAAAAATGTTAAATGCAAAAAAAAAAACAGTAAACAACTACTTTTGTTTATACGATCTCTAGACTAAACTTATAAAACCAGATGAGATTTTTATTGAAGGAAATTACTGTCCTCTCCCCAAAGTTCCATCCTTCCCCCACATAAGAAAACATAAATTATGTCCAATTTATTGTGTGTTCTCCAATAAATCTTTTCATTTAAAATTACAACACAGCTAGAGAAACAAAAGAAGAAAAAGTAGTGAAGCATGTTTAAAAATTGTCCTTTCTTACCAAGCCATTGCTGTAGAACCCAAGAGGAGTTTAAGGCACGCACAGAAAGCATCTTTTCAACAGCTGGTGGAAGTCTCTTCCAATTAGTAAACTCCAAAGTAAAGATAAGGGTGTCCTCACTGACTGAGTCAATCCTGTATCGGCAAGATGTTAACAGGCCATCAGACAAAAACATATCTAGGGTACATTCTGGAAACAAACAGCACAATACCTATTCTTATAACATCTTGATAAGGAAGGCAGACAAAAAGTGGGCACAATAAATATTCATGTAATTGAAGACAAGTTAGATAGATGTAGTTTAATGCAGCTTGGTCGTCCTTACAGACACAAAATTTAATAGTTACAAAAGTATAAAGCCAAAGCACACCAAGTTATTGCTAAATGGAATGTACAAAAGAAGAGGCCATGCTTCTGCCCAGCTCCCAGGGATATACAGCAGTTCTCTGGAATATTCCTCATTATAGATTCAGCCCTAAAGGATGTAGCAGGAAAAGATACCTTACAAACAGTTCTTCCTCTGTTCTTTCAAAATAATAACCAGATTCCCTATCAACCCACCCAAAGAGTCATACCCAAATTGTAAGTGCTGGAAGCCTAACGGAAAGAGCAGTGGTTTAAAGAAAGTCCAGATTTTAATATGACCTTTAATATTTATAGACATGTTACCTAGATTCCTAAGCCCTAGCTCCTGCTCTCTAAAATGAGTGTAATACATAATCTGCCTATTTCAAAGAGCTATTTATAAAGATAATATAATATAATAAACATACTTTTTAAACTATGAAGTATTATATGGTATTTGACATTGCTAGAACTCATTTAAAAACTTCAGTATATTTTCAGGTCTCATACATTATACATAAAATTTAATCAAAGTTTAAGAATAATTCTAAATCCTAACAAGATTACCTATTTGAGCTCTGTTAGAAACCCTCTACCGTCACATCTTTTGAAGCAAAATAACATTATTAGGACCTCTGGTAATTACTACAAAAATTCTTGACAAGGTTAATTTTTTGGAGATGTTACTAAACAAGTGAATAAGGAGAAGAAAAAAACTAATACTCTAAACATATCATCTCAAACATGAACTTATTTTGGCTAATTCAAAGTATCTCTAAAATGACTGATTAAGAGTGTATGAAAACTATTTTCTAAATTCTTAATTCTCTGATACACAAACGTATCAGGAAGAACTTAAAATGGAGCCTTGGGAAAACATTTTATTTCTTACTCTGCTATCAGTGAAATCACAATTTATCAAGAAATACTCAGAATAAGTGAAATGACAAAATATAGTCAATGGCAAACAATCTCCTTGATGTTCTAAGAATACCATACCAAAGGTTATTTGGTTCTGGTTCCTTATTTCTTTTTTAAAGATTTCATTTTTCTGCCATAATGTGCTGCAGGTCTCACTGTGACCCAACACAAAGTCATTTCTTATGCACTTATCTGAACACACATGAGAAATAAATCTGTTTCCATGGCTTTAAGGTAAGTTCATTTTACCCACACTGATGATAATAATACTAAAATGTGTTGTTATTTTGTACTACATTGACCATTACATTGTGCAGTGCGGTTATACAATCATAAATGAGTGATGGTTAATCAACACAATGTACAGATGACATTTGCTTTCTATTATTATCCCATTACATTCCAGGAGGTAGTAGGGGACTAAGTCTTGCATTTTTCAAAGTTGAAAAATATTTCAACTTTGTAGATTATATTGTGACAGGCAATTATTCAGCCAGATACATTTTTAAGACTGGTTAAAACAAGCACTACCTAGGAAAGACATTCATAATTTATATGACAAAGATTAAACAGCAGACTTACATCCAATATAAATAAGAAACAACCAAAATTCACTTTAGCAACATATTGAAATTTTTATGGGAGAATTTTTCTTACAACAGCACTCTGAATGTAAATTTGATCAAAGAAAGCAAAGCATTCATCTTATTCAATGTAAACACTGGCTTTATTCATTCAATAAAAGATCGGTGAACAAAACTTTGACCATATTAAGCACCTTCTAAAGTAAAATTTTCCACTGTATTTTTTTCTAATGAATATAAAATGACTAAGTTCTTCCTTAGTAATAAGATATAAGCAAAACTGGCATTCTGAATTCAGAGAGCTGAAAGTTTTACAACTTACTTTAAAACAAAACAAAATAAAAAAAAAAAAAATAAAATAATTTGTAACTTATTGATTCTTATTCCAGCACATCCAGTGGCTTATTACCACAAAAATTCTCAACTATTCACACCTAGGGTAGGAGGCTGCATTAGAGCTGAGGAAAGAAGAGTGTATTTTAAGAAGCCTTCTAAGAGAATAAAGCGAAATAAGTTTCTCTCCTTACAGTCTATTTCGTTGCCTGGAGAGGAAAGGAAAAAGATGCAATGTTTAATTCTTTTATCCTGTGTACGTTTTTCCTAACTTAGGAACAGGAAAGAGCTATAAAAGTTGGCACAAGTCCTCTCAAGATTGGCATGGAATTAAAGGTACTTGAAATTAAGTGACACAACTACCCCGTCTCTGTGGACACATAAGAGAGCATAGCACAGTGGTTAAGAACATAGACTTGAGCCACGATACAGGACAGCCTGAGTTCAAATCTAAGCTCTAGCACTACAGTAACTTGCTCTGAGAGCTTGGGCAAGCATTTGAATATCTGACCTCAATTTCCATCCTCTGTAAAATAAGGGTAAAATAGTAGCTACACAATTTTATAGTGAGTTAACATCAGTAAAGAACTTAAAATAGTTCTTACTAGTGTGTCAGGCAGTAATTTTAAGTTGTTGTTTTATTTTGTTTTTACCGGGAATCAAACTCAGGGCTTCTTGCAGGCACTGTGCTGCCAAGCTACGTCTCCAGCCCAGTAATTTTAAGTTTTGGTCAAAGAAATAAATTAGAAATCGGAACAGATTATGAAAGTTGAAAATCCTGGGCAAGCCATGTGGAGCTAGTTAACAGCTTCAGAAGAATACTGTGTGCTGAGAAGAAAGTGGGGGCCAGGGCCGGCTCATGTGCGTGAGAGTGGAAGGGGTTCTCAAGAGTTTGCATTTGTGGGCTCTTCCTTGAACCTGGTGGCTCTCCTTTATGTGAAGAGAAGATCTCTATTTGGCAGCATCCCGGTATCTTACCTTTTTATTGTGTCTGCCATTACATGGAATTCAAGAATTTTCACTAAGCAGAAGGCTTATGCTTAGGACTATCATCTCTTTCCGATACTGTCACTCTGTCTCTCTGTCTCTCTGTCTCTCTCTCTCTCACCTCCCAACACACAGATCTCAAGAAATTGGGGGAAATCAAGGTAGTATAGTCACTCAAAAAAGGTAAGGCCTCTTATGGTAGGATTTCTTACCAAGAACTGCACAGTAGAGTCAATGGGTCAAATCCAGCAAGCAGAAGATGCGGCAACCATTCTTTATATTTTGTTTGTGCTTTAATTGCATGATTTATAAATTCAGATATATGGTTCCATGGTCCCAATGGGCAACCTTTCTTCAAAAAGTAGCGAAATACTGAAAACTTCTCATACTTCAGACAGTATGCCAAATGAAGTTCATTTAGTCGGGCTCCGTATTTCAAAAGAATATTCACAATTCCAAGGAACTCACAGCTCCACCACAAAAATTTTTTTAAGAAAAGGAAAAGAAAAAGAAGTAGTTAAGACTTTTCCATAATAAATAACTCTTTCAGACTGTTAAAAGAGATTTCATCTGAGTAACAAGAATACGGGAGGGTTTACATGTGTTGTGAACTGAGATTAGACAACATAGAAGGGGAAATTTTACTTCTTAAACCCTCTGCACTATCTGTAATTTTTAACTGTGAGCAAATATTATTCTTTTTTTTTTTTGTACCGGGGATAGAACTTGGGACCTTCCGCTTGCGAGGCAGGTGTCGGAACCACTGAGCTAAATCCCTGACCCAGCAAATATTATTCTTACAATAGGAAAAAAAAACTGTCTTAAATAAGTATGTATTATTAAAAATTATCATTAACAAAAAAATTTTCTCAAATTGTAATGTGTTTGTACAATTATGTATAAGTATCTCTGCTACAACATATTTACTAAACAAAATTGATCAACATGATCAGTTCCTAAAATTCATTCTAGGAGTTTCCAAAATATTATTTCTGTTAGCAATAGCCTTAGTCAATTTAGCTCTTACTTTTTAGATTTCTAATGGAAAAAAATAGAGAAAAAGGTTTTTAATGAACAAAATTTTAACAAAGCTCGGTATTTTAAAATTAATCCTCCTCATCAAGCACTTTTATGGAATAAACATGTCTTTTTTTGGGGGGGGGATACCAGGGATCGAACTCGGGACCTTGCACTTGCAACACAGGCTGCAGCACCACTGAGCTGAAATCCCGGCAAACATGTCAAGATGTCATTTTATATGTAAATTTTTTTCCATTTTAAGGAAATGTTTATTTGGGAATAAAGGTTTCATGTCCACTTCTAAGTCCCTTAGATATCCACATAAAAATCTCTCATTTCCACTTGATGCTCTTATAGTCAGATTTGTGAATGTGCATGTTTTTCTAATATGTAAGTGAGTTTAATTTTTATTTTTACTTTTATTAGTACATATTTGTAGTACATAATGATTATATTCACTGTGAGCTTGGAGGAAGGGGAAAGGAAAGTGATGTAAAATAATTGGTTACTTTAAGAAAAAACTTTTATCATCCAATACTGGTGGGTTATGACTGCAAATATGATAGAGCTATTTGGCATGAGCATCAAAAAGATATTACGACAAAGTTATAAGGGACACAGAGTCTGCAGCCAGCCCCTGCGCTGCAACCTGAGCAAGTTACTCAATCTTTCTGGTACACAGAACTGGCACTACGTAAGTATCTGTAAAATAAATTTTAAGTAAAATATCACATAAATTAAAACAAAATAATAACCCCACCACTTTGTCTCAACCACGTTAACTTCATCTAACTAAGTTCTCATTATTTGCTGACAGTTACTACTTGCTGATTCTGCTTAGAGAAGAGAAAAACACAGACTGTTGAACATGTTCCAGTTAAGTTTGAAAGGAAACTATGGGAAAAGCTCAGACATTGGCTTATTACAAATATGATATACAAGTCTCAAGATACCTGGCAATATTCTAGGCATGTGCGATTATACGTGCAATTCAGGGACTGGATGAATTCTCCTCACAAGCATCTGAAACTGTCAACAGCCTAACCATAGACACTTAAGTGTCACAGATTCAGGCCAGAGAACATATTTTTGCTACAGAATACAAGTATGTCCTATCTCCTAAAAGCGCCTTATTAGAGTAAATGGTATACCTAACGTGCCCTAGACATTTTCTGTTTTAAAAAAACTACAAAACCAAGAGGCTTTCTTACTTAAAATTTTCAATACATGGGCTGGGGATTTAGCTCAGTGGCACCACGCCTGCCTTGCAAGTGCAAGGTCCTGATTTCGATCCCTAGTACCGCAAAAAAAAAAAAAATTTCAATACAGTACATAGACATGTGGTTCATGCTAAGAAAAATTTAAGGGCAGGGGCCAGGGATTTAGCTCAGTGGTTTCGTCGCCTGCTGCACAAGTGCAAGGACCCAAGTTCCATCCCCGGTACAAAAAAAAAAAAAAAAGAATTTAAGGGCAAGGCCAAAAGATAAACCATCCATCTTCAAAGTGTGAGAGGAACATGCACACATGTGTTCCTTTAATAACAAACTTAAACTGTTTGGTATTTATCAGGCACTACATTACATGTGTCACATGTAAGATTTGTCTTAATCCTACAACCTTAATAAGTTTTACTATCTCCATTCCAGGTATAAAAACTGAAGGTTAGTCAAGAAGTCAATAACTGGCAGAACTAGGATGATAATAATAAAACCAAAATCTTAACAGTGAATATGACACAGCAAACTTCTGAAATACCTCTCCTATAAATATTATGAAAATTGAACACTTAATGAAATAGTCAAATTAAGGATTTTTTTCTTTCAGTATTAGGGACTGAACCCAGGGCCTTTGCATTTATCTATATCCCCAGCTCCTGTTTTGTTTGGTTTGTTAAGTCAATGTGTGAGATTCTCCAACCTCAGTCTCCCAGAGTACTAGTATTACAGGTGTGTGTCACTGTGATCAGTAAACTGAGGGCCATTTCAAGGGTGGACCTATGGTTTCCAAAGTATACTGCACAGATGCTTAGTCCCTATGAAAAATCCATAGGAAAAAGGTTCTCTACTCAAAAATTGGGAGAAACTTTATACAGTATAAAATGAGCCCAGAAAAGGGAAATAAATCAGATGACCTTATTTTCAAGCAGTATATTATAGACACTTTCAAATTATACAGTCAATTTCCAAACACTTTTCAGAAGTACCTTTAAAATTAGAGCAATGGGGCCAATCATTAATCTGAGGAAAGCGTAACAAGAGTACAAAATGCCTTAAAAGTCTATTAACACAGGAGCAATGACATATTTATTGTAAATGTAAGTGTATCCTACATTGTGAAACTTTCAAATCTTTGTAGATCTTTTTCCCCTCTTAGGAATTCCAAAGCACACCAACAATTTTTCTAAATTCACAGAAGCTCTCCAAGAAAGAAACAATTCAACATTGCTTAACCTTGTATTTCCCAAACTTATTTAACCCTAGAATTGCTTCTATTTCATGTAGTATCTATTAGCAATGTATAGAATAAATATTCTACAGAACATACTTTGGAAACCAGCACAAAACTTCTTCCAATTACTGCACTCCTACTGCCTTGTGTTAGGAGGGGCAAGAGCATACTCTCAAAAACCCTAATGAAACTGGCCAATGCTACAATATAGATTCTCTTCCAACAAAACTACCAGTTAGAAGAAGAATAAGTGTGAAATAAACTAGATAATCACAGAACTCTGTCAGCATCCTGAGCTGCTGGTAAGGTTAAGAGGATCTCTAGTACACTATAGGACCTTGATATTACATGTTACCAAACTTTCAATAAATTCTCAGGCTCAGATAACCTTTATTTAAAATATCAGTTACATGGACATATCTATGTATTTCTCTTAAGATTTCAACAAATTCTCTATCAACCTCTGGTATTAACTGGGAAAATTCCTCAGATCCTAGATTAGGAAAAGAATCTATCCTGTTTAACACAAACATAACAATTAATTATGACATATAAAGAAGGAGTACAATATATAACAGTAAATATCAGATTCTGAAAAAAGAGGAGAGATTTAAAAACTAGAAAGCAAGCTGAGAGTGGTGGCACATGCCTGTAATCCCAGCACTTGGGAGGCTGAGGCAGAAGGACTGCCACAAGTTTGAGGCCAGCCTGGGCTACACAGTAAATTCAAGACCAGCCTGAATTACATGGTGAGACCCTGTCAAAAAAAAAAAAAGAAAAATCTAAATCAGTGCAGACCTTATTTTGGAGCTTGTACACTTCCCAACACTCTACTCTTTGAAGTTCAAAAATATGCAAAAACAAAACAAAACAAAAAACCTGTGCCCAAATAAAAGCAGGACCGTAAGAGAAAATTCAACCTGAGTACAAGATTTATTCTAAACAAAAGAAGGGGGCAAGCATCTTGAGTATTTTGTTTAATTAGCCAACAAAATACCTAACTTAATTAGCCAAATTATCAGAAACTCCTAAGCTTTACTTGAATGACTTTACACCCCTGGCTAAAAACAAAACGAAAATACTTAGGTGGGTCCTGTGTCCTCAGTTATGATGACTAAAACAGACATAGTAATTTCTTTGAAACTAATATGATAACAATTATCAATTAGAAAGACAAAATCTAAAACTAAACTAAGATCTCTTTCTATAGCCAGACATAAAAGCCATTAATATTTTTTCAACTTGTCCTGAAATTTCTTTTCTTCCTCCTTCCCCATTCCCACTAGGGGAATCTTTTTCTTAAAATTTTATCATTTAAATTACTCAACTATGCCCTTGAAATACTGGCTTCTTATCACCACACTGTTAACTTCTGAGCCCCAAGGAAAAAGACCTTTTGCTGTGGGAGCTCTACAATGGAGGAAACATCTTCCCACTCCTGGTCCAAGGGAGAAGAGCAAAAGTTCACTACTTCAAAAGGAAACTCATCCTCTCAACACAGCCACCAAAAATGTTTCAGAACATTAATCCTGAGCTTAAAAAGTTGAATTGGTAGGCCAGGGATTTAGCTCAGTGGTTCTGCCACCTGGCTCTAGAACACAAGGTTCCGAGTTCAATCCCCAGTACCCCAAAAAAAGATTAATTGGCGCTGGGGATTTAGCTCAGTGGCTGCCTTGCCAAGTGCAAGGTCATGAGTTCGATACCTGGTACCAAAAACAAAACAAAAAAAACAAAAAAAGTTGAATTCGGTAAATAAAATAAAATCTTAAAACCCAGAGCTATTATTTCTATTCATTATTTTCATCATCTTTTGATATTAACTGTATTATTTATAAAAGCCAACAAAAGTTAACTAAACACAAGAGGTCAGTAGTGTAAGCAAGGCCACAAATACAGGATTTATAGATTTCAGAGAAATAACAGAAAACATGCAAATGAGAGAGCAAGTCTTTTAGACAATACCTTAAGTGAGATAAGTATTAATTAAATCTTTTTTACAACAATCTTATATTACATTAAAATTACTATAACACATTATTGCTATAAAAACAAAATTTCAAAACTCCTACCACTAAACTTATTTATCTATTACCAAATCTATGTAAATTAGACTATCAAATTAATTTTAGAAAATAGAATATTCCAAGTTACCTGGTACCAATGTTGTGACCAAACCTTAAATTCTTATTAATAATTGAGAAATGGAATACAGGAAATTCATACATTGCTTCATTAAGGAAAAATATGATAGCTATTTTTAAATTAAAATTGCATCTAATTATCCCTGCTTGGTAAATGATGACTCTAATCAATGTTTAGTATATGACTGAACAGAATTCTAATTTTTTTGGCGGGGGGGCGTTACTGGGGATCAAACTTGGGACCTTGCACTTGCGAGGCAGGCAGCAGCACCCTGAGCTAAATCTCCAGCCCACTTACTTACTTATTGAGAGAAAAAAATTAAAACTTTTACACTTCATCTTAGCCAAAAGGCCAAGAAGCGATAAAAAATTAAAACTTTTAACTTGTTTTTTTTTTCTTCAGAAACTGGCTACATTACTCTTTTCATATACAAAAACAAAATCTATTGGGTAAATTAAAATGTTCTTGCTTGATCAGCAAAGCTTTATACAGAATCCCAAAATAATCAAGTAGATGACAAGGCTGGTGACTGAGATGCAAGCTAACAGCCAGATATGAGCCAATATAATAATAAAAGGGATGAAGATTTAACTGATGTTTTCTAGATAAATGAAGAGGAGTACAGAGAAGAAAACAAACCTAGACACTTTTCGATGTGACATAAATTGTGCAAGGTACTATTCTTAGGTCAGGTAAGTTAAGATATCTTAAGATATCTTAAGTTAACTCTTATCTATATACTTAAATGAAGGCATATGTAATTATGTTACTATTGTATTTTAGATTTAATCCCTCAGGAAAGGTTCCCTTTAATTAAATTCTCTATAAAGAAGGTAATAATAGCAAAAAGGTATCATAATTTAGTCTACTGCCATTGGTTTCAGCCAAACAAATGAAAAGTTAATTAGAAAGACTAAGGAAATGTACTCTCATAAAACATATTATTTTGATATTTTAACATTTTTTCTAGAGGCTAACAATAGTATTTTCCAATTACTTATCTTATGGAAAACCTATCTAATTAATAATACATTTAGTCCAATTAACAATATTCCCACATAAAAGAATACAGCTCTTGTGCTTTTTTCATAATCACCAAATCAGTGTACTTTAAAGAGCTACATTTCTCTGTTCCTAAGACAGAGGACTAATATCTAGCATAAGGGATTCAAAAAAAAATTAGACCCCTCAAAAATAAAAGACTCAATCAAAAACTGGGCAAGTGAAATGAATATAGACACTTCACAGAAGAAGTACAAATGGCCAATAAATACATGAAAAACATGTTGAGATTCCAAAATCTTACTCCCACTGTTGGTGGGAATATAAACTAGTACAACCACTATGGAAATCAGTATGGAAATTCCTCAAAAACTGAAACTAGAAATTCCATTTGACCCAGCTATTCCCCTTTAAGGTATCTTTCCAAAAGAGTTAAAGACATCATATTATAGTGATACATGCATACCCACATTTATAGCAGTACAACTCAGGTAAATTTGAGTCATGCAAGAAAATGGATGCACCCTGAGACCATAATCTTAAGTGAAATAAATAAGACAAAAAATGGTTTCTCTTATATGAAAACCCAAACTATAAATAAACAGCAAAATAAAAGATAACAGGAAGTAGGGAGATACAGTACATCTTTCTCAAAAAGGAAGGGGATCCAGAGAAGGGAGAAAGAAGAGGGAAAGGGGATGGATGAAAGAGGAATGTCCTATGTATGAGTACCAACTCTACACAAGGAACGCAAACATTAGGTGCTGCAAACTTCAACTAATAAAAATTTTTTTAAAAAAAGCAAAGTTTCTAAGTGGACCAAAAATTAGTTTGTTAGTTCATGCTTGCGATCAAGAACTACTCTACTTCACAATGCTTTGTTTTACAACAATATGATTGTGTTTGAACATGCTTTTCTTTGGTTTATCCTTTTTGGGTTTTCTGAACTTCTTTAAATCTGTAAATTTATGTCTTTATCTAATGTTGGAAAGGTTTTGGCCATTAATAATTTACATATCTTTTCTGCGCCAATCAGCATCACCTCTCCTGGACTTTAATGAATATCAGATCTGTTGATCCTGTCCCTAGGATCCCTAAGGTTCTGTTTGTTTGTTTTTGCTTTCTCCTCTGATTCTGAGTCTCTCTGCACCAGTTGAACTTTCTATTGGTCCATTTTCAGGCGACCTACCTGCTGCCTCTGTCACTTTCATCTACTTTGGAGTCCACACAGTGAATTTTAGAGTTGTTATGGCTTGTATCTAGATGTGCCCTACAAAGCACATGAGGTCACAGCTGGGGCTTTTTGGAGGTGGCTGGATCTAGGGTGTGAAGATGAGATTAAGGATGTGAAGGGCCGGGATTTAGCTCAGTGGTTCCACTGCCTGCTTCACAAGCACATGGTCCAGAGTTCAATCCTGATACCAAAAAAAAAAAAGGATGTGATGCTGGGATTAAGGGTGGCAAAAATCAACAGGCTTTCAGCCTGAATATAATATAAAAGGGAGAGGTGGGCTTTCTTCTGCTGCTGCTTTGCTACTTTTGCTGCCTTCTGCTACAAGACTGAATGAGGTACATCATGGCAAGTTTTCTCTGTTTATTTTTTTAAGTTAGTAATTTAGCATTAATAAACATACTTAAGTTTCACAACACAAAAAATAGTCATTTGGGACTATATCTCTATATAGCAAAAGAAAAATTTCTTTTTAAAATATAGCAAATATACCTACTCCTTTTGGAAAGCCATGCACATGGGAGAACTGAATCCAAAGACGAGGCACATCTGGGCATCTGGGCTGTAACCATTCTGGAGAAGTAACTCTAGACACTTTTCACGTCCTCCAAATACTGCTGAGTAAACAGGGCTTACTTTGTCTGGTCCAGTTTCACAGACCCGATTAGTAAGTGGTATTAGTAAGTCCAAGATTCTACAAATACACAAATTCAGGAGCATTTAACATTTCCATATGTACATGAGAATAGGCAACATTTTAATTGCACATATATTAAGAATTACTCATAAATTGATTTAAAGAAGTCTTTCTGCCCTCTCTCGGTAATTTTGTTTTATTCTGTCTTAAATAAATCTTAAATAATCTTAAGTAAATCTTAAAAATTATAAAAGAATAACAATAGTTAATACACTATATATAATTATCTTCAAAGTAGTTAGTAGAATATATCAACCAAAAAGATTCTTATAAAAAAGAAATAGATAACACAAAACTTTCTTTTCAACAAACTATCTTTACCCTCTATTAAATGACTACATGCTACATAGTTATTCCAAAATGATACATTTATTGCTTAATGTAAAGGCTCTGAAATATACCTAAAAAGGAAGCAATGTTCCTGTAAGTCAGTTTCCTTTTTTTAATTTTTTCACTATAGGCCTTACCACTACCACCTACACTCTAAAAGTCAAATTTTATGTTAGACATTTTAGGACTAAAAAAAAATATTTCTTATACAAAATATAAAGTGGCATCACGACAAATGAAGTATTTTCCTTTTTAAGTACCAATTACTTTTGTTTTTCCAACTAATAAAAATTTTTAAAGATGGTGAATAATATTTTTTTTTTGGTACCAGGGATTGAACTCGGGACTTTGTGCTTGTGAGGCAGGCGGCGGAACCACTGAGCTAAATACCCATCCCGATGGTGAATGATATTAAGAATAATGTTTTCAGCCAGGTGTGGTAGCACACACCTGTAATCTCGGCACTCAGAAGGCTGAGGCAGAATGATCATTGTGAGTTCAAGGCCAAGCTAGGCTACACAGTGAGTTCAAGGCCAGCCTGAACAACACAGCAAGACCTTGTCTCAAAGAACCAAAAATAAATAAATAAATAAACCAATGTTTTCATTAGGCAGAAATTAATATGTCTCATAAAATATTATATTCTCTGAAAAGAATATGAGCTCATTAAAATATGAAATGTATTTATAAAGAAGCCAGTTATTTAGTAGTGAAAGTTCTAGGAGAATCATTACAATGTAAGTTCTTACATTCTTTGTAAATGTACCTCCAGCAAAGCAGGAGAGAGATGGGACTAGTTCACTCTTTTAAAACTGAAAATAAAACTATGAAGGTTAACCCAGAAAATTTCCCCCTTTCTGGACAAAGACAGATAGGGATACTGCAAAGTATCTTTATAACATTATATTTTATGTAGGTAGGGTATATATTGAAGAACTTACATTCACATAAAGGATTACCGTTAAAAGACAATATGAGGGAAATCATAAGTGGCAAATAGATTTCTCAAAATTGAACACAACTGAGGACAAATTCCTAAGACAATTTTGGTATCAATTTAAAGCTCAGAATATAATTGCCATCTAAGATTTATATTTCAATAAACGACCAAGAATTTGGAAAAATAAATTTTAAAACCTAAGTATTTTGTTACAATTGAGAATCTATTTAACATCTCTTATATTTAATAAATATGTTTAATTTTTTAATATGAGTTGGAAAAATTTATACTTACAAAACACAAACATGCTTACAAATATCTTTAGAACACAGTGAAATACCATGCCACCTAGTGGCATAATAACCAAATTATAGAATGTGTTTTAACACATTAAATAATGACCATTCTTATTTTTCAAATTAAATAATACTAACAATACCTATAAAAAGTGTGACTGTAGAATTACAACTCTAAAGATGGTAAACATTTTTAAAAACTTCTCAGTGCTAATGTATGATAGGCAGTCATATTCTCATAGGCATAATAACCAAAGATTCCTAGAACACTTCTCCCATTTGTTCTGTCTCCAGAAAACACCAATAATTTTATGGGAACTTTTGGCAAAGAAGGAGGAGTAGCAGAAGCAGGGGAAAACACCAGACTGGATTTGGGATTACATTAAGAAAGGTCTAGTAACAGGGCTCAAGATGGGGACGACTACTCAGCAGAAACAAAAGAAAAAAATCCATTCCAACAAGGGTCATAAACAAAAACAGTCTGGGGTCAGGGAGACAGTGTAAGTGAATAGCCATCAGACTGCTAGCTGAAGATGCCTGGGATAAAACTAGTGGGGGGGAGATAACCAGAGAAATCAGAGGGAAGATTCAATACCCTGAGGAAGCCCCTGCAGCTTTCACATCTCAGGTCACTCTGCCTCAAAGTAGCAAAGTACACTATAAGATTAAGAAGTTCTAAGGAAGGGCTGGAGAGTTAGCTCAGTAGTGCTACCACCTGCCTTGCAAGCACAAGGTCCTGAGTTTGATCCCCGGTACCCAAAAAAAAAAAAAAAAAAGAAGTGCTAAGGACAGAGAGCACAGGGGATAGACTAGGAATAGATCTAGACACTCAACACGGTGGTTAAGGAAGGAAGTACCAAAGATATCAACTGGAAGTAAAAGGTCTGGTCCAGATTTATTCACTATTGACTTCTAATTATGAGAACATTTTTATTGTTTTAGCACTTACTTTGTATGGCCCATTTGTGCAGCTGCATGAATAGGTAACTGCCAACTGTCCTCATTACAGTAAAGATTAGGATCTGCCCCATTAGACAGCAAAAGCTTCACACATTTTGTATGACCCTCTTGAGCAGCAATGAACAAGGGAGTAGCTTTGTCCAAGGCCTGACAATTGACCTTTGCACCTAACACAAAAGGAAATATTTAACAGACAGTCCTCACTTATGCTTTTAAAAACAGATTAACTTTCAAAGCAAATGCCACAAAACAGTTTCATGGTACAATAGCTTTTACCCATCAGTGGATGTTGTTGAATAAATATACTTATTTTATTAAGTTAGAGACTATGGAACCTTCAGAAATTCCAAATATACTAGACAATTAGAATCTTCTTGACTTTTATTAGGTGAGTGCCTTCAGAAACTTTTTTTTTAATTAGTATTCCATTTTGAGAGACTTCAAAGTATTAGAAAGATTAAAGAACCAATCCCTGTAAGACTATAGGTGGAAAAGTTAAAAAATAACAGACATTTCACCGGAAGGAAATGTAAGGAGCTGGAATCACATATAGTCACATGATAAACATACTTACAGACCTTTTTTTTGGTAGCAGGAATTGAATTCGGGGCACTGCACCGCTGAGCTACATCTCTGGCACTTACAGACCTTTTCCACTTGCTATTCTAACAATTCAGAGAAGAGAGAAGAAAAAAGAACAGAAAACAGAAAAGGTACTTAGACCTCCAAGTGACAAGAGACAGATTTGGCATAAGGAAAGAGTTATTAATATGCAACTTAGCTTATTTTATTAAAAATATTAGTTTGCTTGGTGTGGTTGGGCATGCCTATAATCCCAGCATTCAGGAGGCTGAGGCAGGAGTATCACTGTGAGTCCAAGGGCAGCCTGGACTAACTAGCGAGATCTTGTCTCAAAAATAAATAAATATGGGGCCATGGATTTAGCTCAGTGGTGCCACTGCCTGCCTTGTAAGCATAAGGTCCTGAGTTCAATCCCCGGTACCAAAAATAAATAAATAAATAAATAAATAATAAATACATAGATAAATAAAATACTAATAACTAGATCTTATGGCACTGGAAGTAATAAACTGTCCTAATTAAGTTTTTTTTTTTCACTGAAATGTCTGTTATTTTTTAACTTTTCCACCTGTATGACATAACATAAGGAACATCAAAAGTCAGAAGGTCTGAGTCTAAGCACTGATTCTGCTGAGAAACAGTTTCTACATCTTTTGCCAAAGCACTTAAACACTCAGAGCCTGGGATTCTTAATCTCTAAAAAACAAATATTTGAAGAAATAATTATGGAGATCCCTCTCAACTCTAAGATTTATACAATCATTATTTACACCAAACACCTTAACCAGGTACTTAATAAATGCTTGTTTCTTGTACTTCCTACTTTGACGTAAGCATATGAAGATCTGCAAAGGAAAAGCACAAATGAGAAAATATGTATTGTGATGTCTAAATAAGCTTTGTTTTTTTCTATTTGCAGAGATTTTTGTTTTGGTTTTGGGTTTTTTTTGCTTTTTGGGGGGTTTTTTTTGAGACAGGGTCTCGCTTTTGTAGTGCAGGCTGGCCTTGAACTCACTATGTAGCCCAGGCTGGCCTTCGAACTCTCAGGATCCTCCTGCCTTTGCACCCAGCTATTGGGAGTTAATTTTTTAAGGTTAGGTATTGAAAAAAATTGCCTGGAAGCAAATCTGGCAGCATTTCCCTCCCCTGCATTATCCATATGCTTTATCAGAATAACACTGTGAGAGCACACACTTCAGTTGTGAAGGTGTACACTTTGTGAGAAATTTTAAAGTTCCTATGTAATAAAGTAAAAATGCTGCCTTCTCTAACAATCTTGAATGTGTGATGGTTGTCACAAAAAAACCTTTAGTTAGTTTATGTTGCTATCAATGTAATAAAGTGTAAATATGTTTTGAAATAAACCTATTTAAATAATCACACAATTATCAAAACACATAATTCAAAGGCATAAGATACAAAATAACCTAAATTAGTACTGTCCCCTAGAAAGTTAGAACCACTCAGGTTCCTATAGGAAGAGACATCTCCATCATTCAATTTGGCCAATAAACCTACTTCAGTTATACAGATTATGTTCCTACTCAAATAAATTAGTAGCTGTACAGTGCATTGCTAGTAATAGACACTTTACAGCAAAGCTTATAAGTCAACACGTATATACTCTTATTTATCATCTACATAAGATCGTAAATTTCATAATCTAATTTGTATTTGAGTTAAGAATATTCTTCCTAGGAAGATAAAAAGTCATGATCTTAACAGTGCAGAGGCTAATGGATTAATCTTACCTGATGAAATAAGTATGCTCAAGCTTTCTAGCTTGCCATACTGAGCAGCCAAAAATAAAGGTGTGATTCCAAAGTCATCCTGGCATTCCTTATCTGCTCCTTTTTTAAGAAGTAATTTTATGATCTCAACATTTTCCTAAAGCACAGATTCATATTTTAAATAAGGGAAAACAATAGAATGTATCTTTTAGTCTTTTTTTTAAGTTAGTAAAAGAAAACAATTAACAAAACAATGTAGTACTGTACTGGTTGGGAAGAATGTAGTATTGTATTGGTTGGGAAGGAAGCAATCAAACAATCAGATTATTCTAACCCTCTAGCTGGCCCAGTAAATATAAACGGATTAAAAACTGATCTCTCAGAATTATAATCCCTATAAAATCCTGCAAAATTAGTGTACTAACCTGAGCACTAAGGAGGTATCACAGTTTCAAAACATTACTGCAGAAGTGATTTATATACTTATCAATTTATATCCCACATATTCTGATGGCTTAACTATGCTATCAACATTTGAAAAACTTAGGTAATCCCTATAGCCCAAAGCTGCCACAGCTACTACAGCAGTCAGCTTATTCAGAATGATCATTAGCATTTAGACTGCCTTTTCTGTACTGCACTAACCATCATAAATCACAGGCAAGTATGAAGAAAAACTGTACAGAACTGTCATTTTTAAAGGGTAAAACACATAATTTACAAGGAAATGAAATAATAAATTCAGAGATTACCTGGAAAGAAGCCTGGTGCAAAGAGTTCCATCCACACATAGAATGGGATCCATTAACATTTGCTCCGTGTTGAAGCAAAAGCCTTAACACATCTATCTGTCCATTTTCAACAGCTGCAATACAGTAAGTCAGAAAAATTACTGTCAGTAAAAAAAGGTATGTTTGTAGGACTGGACACTTTGGTGATGTTCTCATCACTTATTCACCCTGGAATTTAAAATGCTATGATCATTCCTAAATATTTATCAAAACTGTCTTAGCCTAAGCCCACTTATACATAACTAATCGTTTCTCTACATCATACAAAATTATTTTTATATAGAAAACAGAAGCAAGAGGCATTTATTCTCTCTGATAATGAAGAAAACATGGTTCAGTTTGCTAAACGTGTAACTAGAAGGGGATAAGGCAGACAGTTCAGAAGACATAGTTCTAAGCTGGGGAAACAGTCTCAAAAAGGTTGAAAGGTTTGCTATCATTACCACATGATCACAAACAACAAAAGAGTCCCTAACAAACTGAAAGAGCAATTTCTGTACTTCAGATATTTTTCACCATCATAAACAATAATCATTGTTAAAATTATGTTCTTATTGGGCCGGGGATTTAGCTCAGTGGTTCCGGCGCCTGCCTCGCAAGCGCAAGGTCCCGAGTTCGATCCCTGGTACCCAAAGAAAAAAAAAAAAGAAAAAAAGAATTATGTTCTTATAGCCACAAATGAAAATACAGTGAAAGAAGGTGGACCCCATATAAACTGAAGAGTGTTAGTAAAGAAATACAAATCACTTGACTATAATAACTAAAACAAGTGATTCCCAACTTGTTGCTATAGTAGATTCTTTGAAGTGAAACTACATGCTTATAGATACCCAAAAAAGGTACACACAAGTTATTCTACTTTCTCTTGCATGTATAATTTAAGATATGTTTAGTCTAATATATGTACATGTAACAATTAATAAACCCTATCTAGTAAGAATGAACATAATGGAACATGCAATTTTCATCTGTGAAGACTAGCTTAGGTGTGACAGTGGAAGCAAAGATTATTTTTTTTTGTAGAGTTCTATTGGTGTTTAAGTTGCAGTTCACATAGGTTTTTATTTCTCATGTTATCTTTCAGGTTTTGTAAGCAAGTAAACAGCTGATGTGAAGATGTTGATATTTATTCTAAACACGCAATACATATTAAGAATACTTTATTTTACTGATACTTTATGTTCCTGTTAACTACACATTGTATAATATAATAAGAACCTCCTGACAAAACAGTAAGACCAGCAAGATGTCCAGAATGTCCTACAAAAAGGTCAGGAAAGCAAAACATATGTGGTGTCAGTGTAAGTGATATGCACATATGGAGCGTGCTGTTGTCATGTGTGAAGACTGCCTTATATGTGGTAATAGCAGTAAAGATTATTTTTTGGGTATTTTCATTGTAGTTCCATAGGTTTTTATTTCTGATGTTCTTTTTTAGACTTTGTACACCAAAAACCAGTCGATGCTGAAAGTTTTGATGCTTTTTTATAAACAATAAATATTTAAAATGCAAAAAAAAAATGAATATAGGCGCAATCTGTCTGGAGAACATATTATCAATACAAAATGCAAATGGGGCTAAACTTTCCCAGATGAATCTACCACAAAACTTTGCTGTGAAGGTGTCAATAATTCCAGAGGCATTTAATCATGGAGTCAATAAAAAGCAGAATGCCAAAACAGAATTATATACAGTAGTCCTCCTTATCCATGCTTTCATTTCCTGCAGTTTCAGTTTGAATGGTAGTCAAAAAAATTACATGGAAAATCCAGAATTAAATAATTCATAAGTTTTAAATTGTACACTGTTCTAAGTGATGTGATGAAATTTACACTGTCTCATCCCCTCCACTCAAATTGTGAGTCATCCTTTTGTCCAGTGTATCCAAACTGTATATGCTACCTGCTCATCAGTCATTTAGCAGCTTGGCAATTTTATTATGTTATATTATCATAATTATTCTATTTTTATTAATTGTCAATATCATACTGTGACTAATTTATAAATTAAACTTTATCATAGTCTGTATTTGCAGAAAAAACATAGTATGTATAGGGTTCATTACCACTTGCAGTTTCAGGCATCCACTGGGCATCTTAGAATATATTCCCTGCATAAGAGGCAGGCTATTGCAATGTTATGTAAAATAGTACATGAACACATTCATAAAACATTAGCAAATAAGATACACTGTATCATAGGTGTGAGGCTATTAAGTGACTTCTTTAAATTATAAATAGTACCTATACTAGAGCTGAAATGTGTATAAGAGATGTAAATACCAAATAGTTTCTCTGGTGTGAGAAAGTAAAAGTGTAAATAAGGATCAAAAGGCATAATAGATAATGTGAAATAGGAAAAGGTCTAAAGGGTAAGGAGAGGTGGGAGAGGTTGAGGAAAGGAAAGAAAGGAATGAAATTAATATGAGAAAAGGAAAAAATGGAAACAAAGTCTTTGTAAATAGGGAGGGGTAGAGGGGTTGAAGGGAAGACAGAGGAATGGGGAAAAAATAAGAACCAAGATATATTATGCAAAGATACAAATTTCCAATGATGAATGTCATTATAATGTACACCTAAAATGTACCAATAAAATTAACAAGTTGAAAAAAAAGAAAAAAAAAATTCTAGCTTCATGTGCCTGGGAACAGAAAAGAGATCTAAAACAATTTTTAAAAATAAGATTTTTCTAATAAGAACCAAGAGAGATTATGTAAAGGTGCAAATTTCCAATGATGAATATCATTATATTGTATACCTAAAGTGTACCAATAAAATTAATTTTTTAAAAAATAAGATTTTTCTTTTCTTTCCCACCCATATTTTTTTTTTTAGAGACAAGGTCTCACTACATAGTCTCTGCCTGTCCCTGATCTCACAATGTTGTATGGGCTGGCCTTGAGCTTAGGTTCCTCCTGCCTTAGGCTTCCATGTACTGGGGTTACAAGCACGCACTACTATGCCCATTTCAAGCATACAGTTATGCTTTCATTTCAAGCATACAGTTATTCTGCATCTTCTACTACAGTACAGTAGGTGGCTGGAAATGAGAATCAAAAACTCAATCATAAAATTAGAAAGGTACTAAATACGTGGATGATGGGTCACATTTGAAAAATGCTAATACAGCCAGGCATGATGGTGCATGCCTATAACCCCAATATCTGGGAAGCTGAGGCAGGAAGATCACCAGAGTTCGAGGCCAACCTGAGCTATATACTGAGTTGAAATCCAATCTGAACTATATAGTGAGACCCAGTCTCAGAAAAAAAAGAAAAGGGAACTGCTAATAGAAACAAAATAATGGAAGAAAATTAAACCCTTAAAAGTATAAAACAAAAAAGTATATTAATTATTACTGAAGATGCACTGACACGCCACTGATAATTCTGTGAGTTTTAGATACTACATTTATACCAAAGTTTACTTCTTCCATAAGAACTCTGGAAAGTCTTTAATCAAAAATTCCTAAGCTGGGGATTTAGCTCAGTGGTTCTGCAGCCTGCCTCACAAGCGCAAGGACCCAAGTTCGATCCCCAGTACCAAAAAAGAAAAATTCTTGCCAGGAATGGTGGCACAAGCCTATAATCCCAACACACAGGAGGCTGAGGCAGAAGGATCACTGCAAATCTGAGGCCAACCTGGTCTACATAGTGAGGCCTTGTCTCAAAAGAGCAAAAGCAAAAAAAAAAAAAAAAAATTCTCACATATCAAAAAAAAATTAAAGTGCGCATACTATCGAGATACTTGCATACCCTGTGTATTGTGGTACAACTCACATAGCCAAGATATGGAATCATCCTAGGTATCCATTGACAGATGACAGGATAAAGAAAATGTGTCACATACACACAATGGAGTATTGTTTGGTCATAAAGAGTGAAATCCTGTCATTTGCAGGAAAATATATGAAACTGGAGATAATCATCTTAAGTGAAATAAGCCAAACTCAGATAGGCATCCCACGTTTTCCCTAACACGGACTGAAGAGAGAAGGAGGGGGTAGAGACAAAAAGTAGAAGGGAGACTATTATTCAGGAATACAGAGAAGGAAGCTATAAGAGAACATAAATAGGGGGATGGATATGACCAAAATATAACATGTACAGGTATGAAAGTGCCACAATAAAACCTAACATTTTGTAAAATTAATTTGTATTCACATATACATATGGAAAAAATTCTCTTATATAAATGGAAAAAAATTCTCTTATCATGGCAGTTTCAGAAACGTAACCAATGATTGTGATAATACCACAGTCCAATATTACGTACTGTATTTCTAAGTTAATAGTCAAGCATTTTTATCAAGGAAAGAACAGTTTTTCCAGTTATTTTCTATCATCAATCTAAACTCAATCCGATATGGGGTGTAGGTCATGCTAGAAAGGGAAGAAAATGCTTCGTATCTTATTCATACATCATTATCAGTGATTTCTGGCAAAAATCCTTCTCTAGCCAGACCTTGAGTTGAAGATTATCAGGTTGCCAGTGATGATATATGAAACAGAATGAAGATAAGTCTGTTTTCCATGAGTCAGGCTGACTTTATAAAAAGTAAAGTAAAAATATTTGTTTTGATTATTAAATACTGCATAAAAGTCAGAAAGAAAAATTGGTTTCACTTTTAAATTGTTTTCACTTTTAATAAGTACATTAAGACAGGTGATTTCTGCATCTCTACCTGAAAGCATTTCCCAATTGAAAAAAGAGCAAAACCTACACATGTGCAGAAAATAATATCTTTTCAGAACTCTCAATTATTTCAAAATAAAGCAAATTTAATGGTTAATGAGTGAGAAACAGTGGTTTAGAAAGTATATTTACAACTTACACTTACTACCAAAGTCTCTACTTTGGAGGAGATGCATTAACTTAGCCTTTATCAAAGTAGAGAGTGATATACATAACTGGGCCTCACAGTGTGAGTACAAAAAAGGAACTTATTATTATTTTCTTTAATTTCTCTTTAACTTCAGCCTGAGAAGTGCAAGTATAAGAGCATATTTTAAACATATCTAGCCTCGGGCTGTGGATTTAGCTCAGTGGTTCTGCCGCCTGCCTTGCAAGTGCA